GTATAATTTCAGGACAATGGGGAAATATAGTTAATAAAATTAATTGGGAACTCTTCAGTAAAATTCGGAAATATTATAAATTATCTCTTCTTTCTCTCAGTCATTGTAGATGGAATGGATTAAAAAGTTAAGCATAAAACAGAAAACTATAAAGAAACAAGATAAACATAATCTCTAAGTATATCTTCAGACATCAATCTATAAAATCATGTCCTTTCCCAAATAGTCTAAAAACACAAAACAGTATTCATCTGGGGTCTCTAAGACCCTTTATTATCTAAGACCTCTGGGATCCCTCAGAACTCACTTCCCACCACTCTTCTTTTCACTACCTCCCAGCCATACCAGACCTTTCCACATATGAATCTCTTTTTCCTCTAAACCCTTTGCACTCCATCCTCTTGTGATTTCCTCTACACCCAAGTTGTGTGTCTCTCTCCCTCATTTCATCAGGGAGAGCTTACATGGCAGCTCCCAGATCTCTTGTTACTTCATCTAGTCTCACCCTTTAGACTGTTGGTCTTCTTCACCTCTATTCTCCATCGGCTTGCTTACTTGGTGAAATTTGTACATCTTTGAAAAGCAGTGACATCATTTCTTTGCTCTTGCATCTCCAGACAAACCACATACATAAAATATGTTCAAATAATAATAATTCACTGAATTGAATGAAATAAAGAACACAGAAAGTCACACATGCATGAGTGACAAAGTTTAATGCATAAAAATCAAAACTTTTGTACCACAAAGTAAATAAAACAAAAATAACCAAAGGATAAACATCCCACTGGAAAGATTATTCATTGCTTATACAATGACATAGCAGAATAGATTCATACAGCAAAAATTTAAAAAAAAAGAAAAAAGAAAAGAAATTAATCATGTACAAATAACCACAAAACATTTCGGAAAGTGTTAAAACTCACCCTTGATCAAGTAAATTGATAATATGTAAGATTGACAACCAAAGACTGAAATGATCTACAATTCAATGTTACTGAAATTGTGACTATATGCCTTTCTAAATGTGGTTGGTAAAAGTATAAATTTATGGTTTCTGAAGGAAAATTTAAAGATGTCTACAAAATATATGAACATTGTTTGCTTTAGTATTCTAAGATCCATCTTCTAGAACTAGTAGTTAAGTTTGCAAGGATTTTAACATGTGCAGCTTCATTTGTAATTGTGAAAATGGGAAAATGCCCTTGGTAATTAGGTTTTCAGGATACATGTGCACAACATAAATTGATATGAAAAATACATCTATGATCTTGTCAGAACCAAAATTGCCAGGAGGTCCTCAACCTGCTCTTCTCTGGTTTGGTTTCTCAATTCTTGCGTTCCCCTCTTGGAATGACAAGCTTGCTATGCTGAGTGTGCTTATAATTTTTAACCTTCAAATTTTTGATACCATCTGCCTCCTGACACTTTACCCACTGTTCTGTCCCTAGCTGGTAGACAATTTGCTGTGTAGTGAGATTGAGGAAAACACCTTAGTGTGGGTGTCCTCAAGGCAGCACCTGTGACTAAGGGAGTTGGTCTGTGATCCCTAAGAGCAGGGATGCAGGGCAAGGGCAAAGATGGATTTGACCATAACTAAGAACTATGGCCCAAGGGTGTCAGAGAGATGAATGAAATTGTGATATTATGATGTAATAAGAAGCATATATATTGGTCTTTGTCTATAGTCCACAATTCCTGGAATATAACTCTTCAAACCCTTGTAATTTCCTCAGTGATTAGAGAAATAATCTTTCATTATGAAATTGTTTTTATCCTTGGTTCTTGAAATATTTACAGTGGTAAAAGTTCAATGGCTGTCATTTGTTATTTATATTAAAAAATCCCTTTCAACCACACTTGAGCTTATGATAATGAAATGACTTAAAAAAAAATTCTTGACAAACACCAGATCAGTGTCATTTCCAGGTGACTCACTCACATGATCAGAAAATTAGAACTTTCAGTCTCCACCCCAGCCCTGATATCTGGGGTGGGTATAGTGCTTGGAGGTTGAATCAATTACCAATGGCCAATGACTTCATATACTCAAATCTCAAAGGAATTAAGAAGGATGAAGGTATGGTTCACCTCACCAGGTAAAGAATCCCCTTCCAGTTCAGATGCTGGAAAAAGGTTAGGGGGACATGGTATGGTGGAAGAAAATAGTTGTGATTAAAAGCTCTTATCTCATACTTATTAAGAGTAATGGGAATTGTTAGCAGCTATGTTTTATCTTAAGTTATTGCCCCCCTTCTATTTTACTAATTTATGTAATAAAACCAATGGTGGTGGCTAACCTTTTAGATCTCAAAGAGCTTATTCCTAAATTGATATCACTTCTTGTGATATGGTAGCCAATAGGAGTTTCTATGTCCCTGAAGTTGGAGATGTGAACTTTTACCAAAAGACCAGGATAGAGATAGAGAGCAATGAATATGGACTCTGCCCCAGTAGATTTTCTCTCTAATTTCTCCAAATTCCTCTGTGCTGCATCTGCAGGGACAAGCCTTTATTCCGTGGTTGCATTCAGCTTTTATTCTGTGGTTGCATTCATCCAAATGGGGGGCCATGCCAGGAGGTAGTAAGGATGGAGTAGAGTTAGGTCAACATCTTGACCCCTGTTTTTTCTTCCTAGGAGTGCATCTGGATGTTTCTCTCCCCTAAAAAAAAAAAAAAAAAACTACTGTCCCCACACAGCCCTTCTGTCTTCAGGTTCCTGTAACTGCTCCTCTCCTCTTGCCTTTGTCCACAAGTAGCAATCATACCCACTGGGACTACCCCTGGAAAGTTCCTTAGTCTGTCCACAATGTAGGTGATTTTCTCTTTATTAAATATTATTCAAATTGCCCCACTTTTATATCTGTTCCTCGATGAGAGTCTGATTAATATAACTTACCTGTAATTGGTTGACAAGTTTAATTATAAACCCAGCTCTTCTGGTTAAAATCCAGACTCTTTTCCATTCTTCCTCATAGCTGTGGTGGGGTGGCAGTTGCCAGGTTAGCTGGGAGACCATTTTGGTTTCCATTACCTTATTAACTTAAGGAAGAGGAGTACACCCTTGTCTTCATTTCAGAGGGAGAAATAGTACCTGAGTACCACTCCTGAGTCTGGTACCTGAAGTGCTTTATAGAGAAGTGTAAGGTAGTACAATATGAAATAAAGAATCAATGAAAACAAATGAGTATGATGTAATATTTGATATGCAGGTGGATTTCATTTTTTCAGGCAGATTTGTAAAATAAATTGAATTGTATCAACAATCTCTTTCCCTCCCCAACTGCTAGTGTGTGGGCAATGTTTGTAAAAACAATACAATTCTTGTAATATTTTTCCCCACGATATATATTCTGTAGAGTATTTGAAGAAAATGACTCAATATAAAAAAGAAACCTGCATACATTCCATAACAACAAAACATAAAATAAAAATAGCCAGAATGTCTACAAGTAGAAAGAGCTGGAAATTAAAAAAAGCTACTGATTAGATTGTTGCACATTATTTTCAAAAAACATCATGAGACTCTGTCAGTATGAACATTTTTATGTCATTTAATGTAGAAAGTACTTAAGAAGCAGCAGGGCACTCTGAAACTGATGTCTGGATTAAAATATGAGCCTCCAGTATCCAAGCTCTGTTGATTTTGGCCTCAGTTCCCTCATTTATAAAATGGGGACAATGATGGTGCCTAATCAATAACTTCACTGTGAAAATTAAGTGAGTGAAGCCAGATAATTTTGTTAGAAATGTGCTTGGCAATAGTAAGCAGCTATGGTGTCCCAGGGTCCTGGGATCAAACCACACATCAGGCTCCAAACTCAGTAGGGAGTCTGCTTCAGATTATTTATCTCCTTCACCCTTTGCACCACCTCCCACTCATACATGTGCCTGCTCTCTTTCAAATAAATAAATAGATCTTAAAAAAAAAAAAAAAAGGAAAAGAATGAATACATGCATGCTTGGACGTAAGAGAAAAGTAAGCAAATGTACCAGTGAGTGAATGAAATCATCTTTACATATCCTAAAAAGAAAAGCCTAGGGTTGAACAGGAAAATCAATATTTCAGTAATTAGAGATAAATCAGTGTAGCATATTATTGATGAAACCACTGATTTGCTTGAAATCTGATTGCAGTTCTATTCTTGAGATGCTTGTATTTTCCAATTCCTCCTCTGAACATAGTATGAACTGTTTTACTCCAAACACCTCCGACACTAAATGTGTGAGATTTTTCCCACCAAAAACTAACTTTCCAACTCTCTGGATACCTATATTAAATGAAATTCTGACACTAATACTCAGAGTTAGCACAGACCCCCCCCCCAAGGTTTGAGGGCTCATTGATACAAATCAGATATGGTAGAAATGGCCTCATTGTGAATAACAAAAGATGTACCTCTCACCCATGTCACTCAGGAAATCCCAAGAGTCCTAGAAACTCTGTGCCATCAGGCAAAAAGAGTGAATTTATATATATTCCTTATTATATTACTAGGAGTCACAGGCAGATGGGGAATACGTGTATGGATAGATAGATCTAGAGTTAAATCTCAGTATAAAATATTAATAGTTTTATAATCGGTTAACCTTTATGAGATTAATAATATTTGCCTTGTGGAGTTATACATATTAGGGAAAAAATGTAAAAGACTTTACACAGATCATTTCCAAAGGCAATTACTCTAAACAATGAAAAAAATAATAACTAACATATTTGACTATACAACCAATTAACAATAAGACAGCATATATATTACATGTATATATCAATATGAACAACTAGCAAAACAATAGGATTATTAGCAAAAAACAAAACAGAAAATACTTTCTTTTTACCTCGGCCTGAAAAATGATGCATGAGCACATTCATGTCAGATTGTCACCTACCTTGAACTCAAGCAATATTAGAAGAGAAACTACCTCCCAAGTATACTGCACCTCAAATCAATTTTGGTCTCTTTCAATCTTTTCTTTCTCCTCACAAATTACTAAAGTCCCTAAATATTCCCCCTTGACCCTGCAAAGCCACAACAGTTCTCTAACACAATGCACCTGAGAGTCTTCTTCACATCCTTGTTCCGTAGCATGTAAATCAGGGGGTTCAGTATTGGGGTGACAACAGTGTAGAAGAGGGCTATGAACTTGCCCTGTTCATGAGAGTTACTCTTGGCTGGCTGGAGATACATAAAGATGATGCTCCCATAGAACAGAGCCACAACTGCCACATGGGAAGAGCAGGTGTTGAAGGCCTTTCTCCATCCTTCTGCTGACCCAATCTTCATCACAGCTCTGGCAGTGTGATTGTATGAGACCAGGATGAGACCCAGGAGGCAAGACAACAAAGATAAAGCTGGCCACATACATCTCCACCTCATTGAGGCTGGTGTCCACACAAGCCAGTTGCATAATGAAGGGCATCTCACAGAAGAAGTGGTCAATGTGATTGTTCCCACAGAGTGGCAGGAGCATAGTAAGTGTGGAGCCCACCACGCTGGTGGTCAGACCCCCAAGCCAAGAGGCAAGGGCCAAGCTGAGGCAAAGCTGTGGATGCATGATGACAGTGTAATGTAGTGGCCTACAGATGGCAACATAGCGGTCATAGGACATGACTGCCAGGAGGATGCATTCAGTTGCCCCCAGCCAGTGGGAGATATAGAATTGGACCACACACCGTCCATAGCTTATGGTTTTCTGTGGTCCCCAGAGGTTGACCAGGAGTTGTGGGACAATGCTTGTGGTAAAGCTAATGTCCAGGAAGGAAAGGTTGGCAAGAAAGAAGTACATAGGGGTATGGAGGTGCACATCCATGCAGGAAACCAGAATGATGATGCCATTGCCCAAGATAGACACCACATAAAAACCTGAGACAAGGATGAAGAGGATAGATTCTAGTGAGGGTTGTGTGGAGAAGCCCAGGAGTACAAAAACTTCTGGAGAACTTACATTGTCTATTTCCATCATCATGTGTAGCCAGGAGTGGGACAAAAAGACCACCTGTGGTGAGTGGGGGGCACAGAATATGGGGCCTCAAGTGACTATATCAGTTAGCAGACTTTAGACATAATTTTATACCCATTTTCTTGAAAGCATGTACTCAACTGCTCCATGGATGATGTTGCATCATCTTCCTGAAGGCCAGTTTGGAGAAGCATGAGACTATACATAGCCTGGGGAAAACGGACATTCATGCAATGTTCTTGGTACTGATTATTTTGTTGAAATATTACTTATAGTAGCAACATCTGGAGTCAGCCTGAATGTTTAGTGGTGAGATTTTCTTGGATAAAAGATTTCATGTGATGAAACACTGCAGAGGCAATAAAATCATTACCGTGTTACTCCCTTTTTTAGTTAATGGCCACATGGAGTCCACCATGATATTTCCCTTTTAAATCCCACAATCAGCAAATTTTTGCTTTAACATTAAATTCTATTCTCATGGGGCGCCTGGGTGGCTCAGTGGGTTAAGCCGCTGCCTTCGGCTCAGGTCGTGATCTCAGGGTCCTGGGATCGAGTCCCGCATCGGGCTTTCTGCTCAGCAGGGAGCCTGCTTCTCTCTCTCTCTCTCTCTCTCTCTCTCTCTCTCTCTGCCTACCTCTCTGTCTACTTGTGATCTCTCTCTGTCAAATAAATAAATAAAATCTTTAAAAAAAATAAAAATAAAAAAAAAAATAAATTCTATTCTCTTCACTTCTTGCAGCTCCTTGCTACCATCCTGGCATCCGTCACCATCATTTATCACCTGGATTATTGTTCTAATATCTTAACTTGCCTTCTTGCTTTCCCCATTAGTTCCCTTCAGCATGTTCCCAACACAGAAGCTAGAAGATTATCTTAGGATACAATATGATCATACTGCTCTTAACAGCCCTGTTGTCTTATAGCAAGGCTTTCAGTGACTTTCCCCCAAGACATCCATCCACAAACTCAATTCTTACCTCCTTCAGGTTATTGTTCAGAAGTCATCTTTCATTAAACAAAAAATGGTATTTTTTAAAGTGCTTATTTAAATTCCAGTTAGTTAACCTACAGTGTAATGATTGAACACTTCCATACACTGAAGCAAATGCGCTATTTAATATTGAAACCCCTCTGAACTCCCTTCTCTTCCTTTCCAGCTTTGTTTTTATTCATAGTACTTATCACTAAGGAACAAATATGCTATACTAAGTTACTATGTTTGTAACTGTCTCACTCTGCTAGAGTTTAAATTCCATGGACTCCTAGCTTTCTGTTTACTTTGTTTGTTTCTTAGTCCCCAGTGCCTAGCTCATGTCTGGTACACAAAAATCCTTTAATCAACAGTCACTGAATGAGCAAAATGTGAAAAAGGTCATTATAACGGGTACATGGAGCAGAACAATATAAAGGCATAGTTAAGGAATGCTCAGTGTAATCTCATAGCAGTGGTATCAGGAAAGAACTCTTGGGACTGTCAGAGTCATGCAAAGAATAAATCCATCATAATTAGAACCCATCCAGGTGTGAAGAACAGAGCAGCTATAAACTCAAAGGTCTGCCTTTCTAAATCCCAGGGAGTGTAATTCATTCATCTCTAAAATGGGAAGTTGATCAAGGAAAATAGACTTGAATACACATGTTTATTCACAGATTTTCAAAATATGTGTAGAGTTTCCATCATGCATATGTAAAAATGGGGCTCAGAGGGCTTCAGACATTTGCCAAAATTTATACATAGACTCTATACCAGTGTGGACCTCACTGAGCCACAATGCTGAGATAATTGTCTGCTTTGCATGTAGCAGAGCAGTGCAGCACTGATGCTCTGAAAAAGCATCTGGGAAATGAATTCTGACCTCCTGTAACCTGGGGAAACATGGAGAGCTGCAAGGACATGGGTGGCTTCAAAATGTGGATGTGAGAGAGAAGTGAACGAGGGCAGATATGAGCAACTGAGTCATGACACAATGAGGTGATTACCCTATATAGAGAGTCATCTCAGATGAGCTGATGAGGACAAAGAAAAGTGAAAGGCAAAACCCAAAACCATATTGTCCCCTATGGATATAAGCATCCCCTCTATGGAGATATGTACATTTTGTGGGCTCACATATGAAGAAAATGTAGGAATGTCACCAAGAGATGGCAGCCATAAGGTCAGTCATGAGGTAATAGTTCAGTAGAATTTTTGAGGAAGTAGAGACCTTTGTGGTGATCTGATCTATTTCTAGAAATGTTCAGTGGTTTACCCAAAGTCCCAGAGCTGCTCAGTGCTGGCACTGGAGCTACACCCAAGGCATTCAGATTCTTAGTACAAAAATAACATTCCCTTTAAGTAAAGGGGGAGGTTTTCTCATTCTCAGAGATTCACCAAAACTGTCACAATAAATAATCATTCTTGAAAATGTGATCTCACCCCAAGTCCTGTGACATCATGACAAAGAAAGATAGCATGGAGACAGTTGTGAAAACGTTTTGAGTTCAAATTTTAAATCAATTATGCAGTCATAAACTCTACTCCTGGCTGTAGGTAACCTGCCAAAATACCAAAGACCTCAAGAAGAGCAAGTCAGATTATTGAAATGCATCCATATTCAGCAAACTTAACTGGAATTACCAGAAACTTTGTGATCCCAGTTCATCTTAAATACCATAAAAAACAAACAAATGAACAAACAAATAAGCAAACCTAAGAATGTCACTTACTGATGGTGAGCTAGGAGCAGCATCTCCCTGTATGGAGGGTGGAAATATCAAATAATGTGGAGTATTTTATTTCAAATATTGTTAAAACCCATGAATTCAATGGATATGACATTAAAAAGTAGGAAGGTAGCCATGGGATTTGAGAAGCCCTGAAAATATTGGAAATCTCCAAGTCATTGGTGGCAGACGTGTTAGATTCTGTTCAAATGTATGTCTAAAGAACACTTTCTTAAATTTTAAAATCAGAATAGGTTTTAGTTAGAGAGAAACACTATTTTTTTCCTATGAAAACTGTTAGGAAAAAGAATGAGGATGGCTCATAGTGTTTCCAGAATGAGAAATATATACCCACTCTCAAAGGACCTAGTGTGTCATAAAGCCTGTGTAATCACAAGACACTCATTTTATCCTCTAGAGCATTCAGAAGGGAGACAGAAGGTGATGTATGTATCAGGGGAGTGAAATTGGTGGGAAGAAAGCTTTGGAGATTTTTTCTTCTTTTGAATAATTATAATTTCATTGTAATCAAATAAATGGTTATTTTTATGAATAAAACACCCTTTTAAGTTTTTATACTGCTAAACACTGCTTACAGAACATAGAAATCAAGTCTCTACTCAAAGATTTATCATGCAGTGGAAGAGAGTCTGAAATATTTGCTCATTACAGTAATTTTGGTACATGTTGCTATAGATTTTCTTTTTTTTTTCAAGAGAGAAGAAGACATTAAGAATTTTATTTTTTTATTTTTGTTATTTAAATTCAATTATCCAAGATATAATACATCATTATCTTTTGATATAATGTTCAATGATTCATTAGTTGAGTATACCACCCAGTGCTCACAGATTTTCTTCAAAATTCAATCATATAATTACTGGTGTCCAACACAGCAATGAACTAACATCTTTTCTTTAAAATGAACTTATTTTTGTTGTATTAAAATACACACAATGAATTTAGCATAATAATTTTTACATATACAAATCAGTGAAATTAAGTGCATTCGCAAAATATTGCAACCATCACCATCTAGTTACAGAACTTTCTCATCGCTCCAGATGTACCCCCTACATAGTCACTCTTCATTTGCTTTCTTTCTCCAGGCCTTGGCAACAACTAATCTGCTTTCTCTCTCTAAGAATCTACCTATTGTGAATATTCCACATATATGAAATCATGCATTTTGTGGCTTTCTGTGTTTGGTTTCTTTCACTTAGCATACTGTCTTCTTCATCCACCTTGTAACATGTGTCAGTATTTCACTCACTCTTGTAGCTGCATACTATTCCGTTGTGTGCCTTCACTATATTATATTTACCTATTCATTTGCTGATGAAGATATATTTCCTCACAGTTTTGATTTGTACTTCCCTAGAGACTGATGGTATTATGCATGTGTTTATGTACTTTTGGATTTTTTTGTACTTTTGTGATTCTGGAGAATCACAGTTCTGGAGATCTTTTTTGGAGCAGGATTTATTCAGGTCCTTTGTCCACTTTTCATTGCATTATTTGTTTGTTGTTGTTGTTAAGAAAAGAGTTCTTTATATATTCTGATTATTAGATCCCTTATAGCCAGATCATTTGCAAATATTTTCTTTCATCTGTGTGCTGGGTTTTTTTTTTTCACTTTTTTCATATTTCATAGTGTCCTTTGACAAAGAAATTTTTCTTTCATGAAGTCCAGTGTATTTATCTTTTGTTTCTTTTGTTTGGGGTATCACATTTAGGAAACCATTGCCAAATCCAGACTCATGAAGTGTTCTTTCTGTATTTTCTTTTAAGAGTTGTATAATTTTAACCCTTGTAATAAGGTCCCTGACCATGTATGTATGTATGTTTTAATATGGTATTAGATAGCAGTTCAGCTTCATTCTTTTATAGGCACATATTCAGTTGTTCCAGGAACATTTGCAGAGGAAACTATTCTTTCCCCATTGAATAGTCTTGACACCCCTGTCTAAAATCAATTGCCACAGATGTATGAGTTTATTTCTGTACTTCCAATTCTGTAGCACTGACCTATTGTTATGTTAGGACCAATTTTGATTACTGTAGATTTTTAGTAAGTTTTGAAATTGGAAAATATGAGGCCTGTTATTTGTTTTTTGCCCCCATTATTGTTTTGCATATTCTGGGTCCCTTGTAATTAAAAATGAATTTGAGATTTGGCCTTTCTGTTTTTATGACAATGAAAACAAAAACATTGGGGTTTTGATAGGCATTGTATTAAATCCATGGATCACTTTGGGGAATGCTGCCATCTAAGCCATATTAGGTCTTCCCAATCA